ACTTGAACTGGACATTCCCTAATCCCAGAGGTTGAACTGGACATTCCCAAATCCCAAACCTCGCCCCTGGAAGATCCTCCCACCTCCCACCATTCCCTAAATCCCAAGGTTTGCCCTGGACGATCCTTCCCCGCTCCCACATCCCCCAATTCCCCGACCCCGAAGGGACCCGAGGGATCCTTTGGGATCCAGAATTCCCAGGATCCACAATTCCCAGGATCCAGAATTCCCAGGATCCACAATTCCCAGGATCCACAATTCCCTGCCTCCGTAGACTTTCTACTCGGCCATCGTCGACCTGTGCGACAACGGCGGGAAGCGCCCGAATTCCGGCGCCGGCATCGGCTTCACCCGGGAACAGGCGGATGCCATCCGGAGGATCCGGAACAGCAAGGACAGCTGGGACATGCTGGGAGTCAAACCCGGAGCCACCAGGTGAGGGAAAGCCGGGAATTCCTTGGGAATGGTTGGGAATTATCCATCCCGGCCTGGTGATGCTGAGAGGGAATGGTGGATGTGGAATGCTTAGGGATGGTTCAGGTTGGAAAATCCCGGTGGGATCATGGATTCCAAGCATTCCCGGCGCTGCCAAGGCCGCCATGGATCCGTGTCCCCAAGGGCCACATCCACAGGGATTGGAGATCCCTCCGGGAATGGCGACTCCAGCCCTGCCCTGGGAAGTTCATTCCAGTGTTTAACCACCCTTTCCATGTGGGAATTGTTGTTCCCAAGATCCAGTTAAATTCCCTCCCTGGCCCAGCTGGATGTTGTTCCCTTCTCCTCCTGTCCCTCGTTCCCTGGGAATTGGGGACCTCCTGGAACTTCCTTCCTGGGAATTGTGGAGAGCTGGGACAGTGCCAGGATGGCACAGGATCCTGGGAATGGTGGGAATGCTGGCTCTGCCCACACTCCCAAATCCCAGGAGTTGAACTCCATGATCCTCCTGATTCCTTCTGGCTCGGGAGATTCCCTAATCCCAGGAGTCTCAGTGGATATTCCCTAATTCCAGAGGTTGCAGTAGATGATCCTTGTGGGTCCTTCCAGCTCAGGGGATTCCCAAATTCCAGGGCTCTCAGTGAATGATCCTTGGGGATCCTTCCATGTCAGGAGATTCCAGAATTCCAGGGGTTGCAGTGGATATTCCCTAATCCTGGAAGGAACGCTGGGAATGCTGGCTCTGCCCGCGCTCTCCGGAGAT